ATAACACTTCAAAGTTTGGATTTGACGACTATGCACTCACTACCTCATAACAACATATATGTTATAGATATACATGTATATATATACTCATAAATTGAATATTATTTAAAATATATGGCTCTAATAACACACTAACACTTTATAGCTCTAACACTTTATTTTGTATTAATTTGCAACACAATCTTTGAAGCGTATACGTTAGTAATAAATTAAATCCTTCATAAATTAGTAATTTTTGACATAGAATTAAAATCAGACCGAAGAAAAATAGAAATTTATTTATTGATTATCATTAATGTTATTTGAATTAATATACTTGGTAAAAGGGGCTACGAAGTGACTTGGGTGAGAATTTTTTTAAATAAATACCTTCAAAATCTTGTAGCTTCAAAAATAGCTTAGACGATGTTTAACTTTAATTATATTAAGTAAAAGTAAGTGTGTTTTTGCAAATCTTACAATGGTTTCTTTTGATTTGAATATTGTATTTAGGACGGTTTTCATCATTTTTGTGGATTAGTTGGTTTTTGTATATAGGTGTTCAATTATTTGTTTAATATAATGTTTGTTTATCTAAATTAGTATTATTAATCTTATTATTCTCCAAACCACCTCAAAACTCTTAACCAGCAGGTCATATCTAACTCAACTCTCCCGTTTCCTTTTTTTTTAAACTGTCTAACCCACATAAAATAAGTTAATTTCATTTTAATGCATTATTATAGTTTCACTTTTTTTAATAAAAATTATATTTGGGTGTAATATTTTGGAATAAGTGTTTGTTATGAATGTTTTAAAACAATTTCTTGCCAACTTTGCGCAAAAACTCCTTCCGAAAAGCGGGAGACGTGGGTGAGGAAAGCTTCGTTAGGGGTTCATTATCTAAACCTCAGACCCCGGACCCGGCTAACAGATAATTAGAGGAAAACTTGGGAAAACGGAAGCCCTCTTGGGAAATTTTACCGTTTTCCCGCATTCCCTACTCTTAAAGAGTCCTTATCTTGTGTACTTGAGCTCCCAGGCTTGGGAATAAGCTACATTTTATAATCTTTGAAGTTACTTTTATTATTTCCTTGTTGCTTGTTAATTGTATGAATTAATTCTGATTTTTCGTTTATTAAACATTGGTTATAATGGTATTGATAATTGATATATTTTCAATATGTTTTGGACGAAGTAAAGCTATTTCAACTCCAGCAGACTTAAGCAGACCTCTTAAACTAAAGATGGATGGCAGTCCATGTGGGATGAAAGCACTCAGAGAAAGATAAAATATAAAAAAGGAATTAAGGTCATGAAACCTATTTAATCTCACAGGTCAATAGTTTTAGCTTAAAGCCTGAATTATGAAAAAGTCTTATAGAAAATAATACAACGATATAACTGTTTTAAAATTTTTTATAATTAAATAATATATCTGAAATATGACACACAACCAACAATACATCACCTGAACGGGAGGTAAAAAATAATGTGTCTGTGGTGTATAAATATTTAAGAATTTATAAGGTAATTAATTAAATAAAAAAAGTGATATTGGTGACCTATAAAGTGTTACGCCTGTAAACAAGAATCAAATTCGCATCGCCTCCTAAGATATCGGACAAGCCCTACAACGAAAAATCTGAATAATTTGTTCTATTTTCTGAAACAATGCAATTACTACAGACATACTTGCACAATACAATTTTATTATTCCTACTATAAAATAAATCTTGTATAATAATGCAGTTGTAACGACACAATCTTTATAATATATTTTAACAACACAAGCACATCTAAATATATTTTTTTCGAGACTCTTATAGGTTTTTTTTTAATTTCAATTTTTATTACATTAATTTCAATTAAATCTCTCAACACTATTATAAATGTCCTTTGAGACAGATTGTAATATTTTCAATAAACTAGATTAAAAAAATCAATTAACTTACATTTTAGGTTTCGGCCATTTAGCCATATTTATTTACTTAAATTCTATAACCACTTTTCTTGTCATCTTTGTTTGTCAAAACACACTTTTTACTTTTTCAAAAAGCCAGAACTAATTAAAATTAACTTTTATTATTATTGATAATCTAATTTAAACATAAACATAGACCTATAAAAACGATTCGACTCTCAATGATTCTCACTTTGATAGTTAGAATTAGAATTCTTCAGCTGTTAACTTCAGTAAATCGAAAAAAATTCTGAATTTTGATTCCTGGATGACCCAAAATCCTTTTTGTAACAAGAGAAGTAGAGAATGTTCTATAATTCGAACTTGACCACTCCCCCTCTTTATAATTATAAATTACCTTAGTATTATTTTTTACATGAGGCTGTTTATATATATATATATATATATATATATATTTTTAAATTTATACATATTTTCTAAAATATAATAAAAATTCTTAAAAATTTGAATTATTTTTCTTTACTTTTGATAATTCAAACTTCTTGCTAATCCGATTTTTTCATTTAGTCCCTTGAATTTAAAATTATTAGGAATCGACAGCATTTAGAAAAGTTATACAGTTTATTGCGAGAAAATAGCATTTAATAAAATTTTGTAGGATAGTTTATTCGAAAACCGAAATATTCATAAAATAAAACGGAAAAAAATCTTGGAATGGTAACTTCTTTACCAGATCTTCAGTAGAATCCCTAAATATTTTTAAAAATATATTGAAAATTTTGACTTATTCTTTATGAAATGAAGTAAAACTAAATTAAGAATGAGAAAGTTAAATAGACTCAGTTGCTGAAGTCCTTGTATTGACGTTTATGTTGGATGTTTCTTTGTAAAACAACAAGGAAAAAAACTTTTTCTTTTTTTAATCCTGTGTATGTTACTCGTATTCCTGTCGTAGTTTCAATCCCTGGAACTCCTAATGGGTTTTCCCCAAAAGGCTTAGTTGTTGGACGGAGAGGGTTGGGTCTGTTTAGAGTGAATAGTGGCTGCTTGGATGAAGTAGTGGTCTAATTTGGAAAACCGAAATTAAAGGTTCAGTAATTAAGGACGACTGTCATCAAAGAGACGTCATTAGAGCTATTTTTTTCTTTTCTGCAAATAGATCCAAGCATCAGAATTCATAGTTTAATTAGTTTTGCTCGTGGTTTTATATTGCTTAACAAAATCCAGCGTTGACTTTCACTAAAATTTGATTTGTTTTATAATTTAAGATAAAAATATATATGTAAGGCGACTTGTTTAGTCAGTGAGTGATTTGCGCATTTAGAGCGAACACCCCCTTGAATTAAGTCAGGTCACGAATCTTTAGTGACTAGCTAGGTAATTTTGATAGGATATTTAAGCTTTTTCATAATGATTAGTATATTTATATTAACTATCAATTGGCTTGGATCGGATGCAGGATTTTAGGCCTACCCCCAGCCTCTATAAAAATCCTGATAGTAATGTTAGAAGGCTAAACGCATCAATTCCTTCTTTTACTGCCGGTGATAAAAGTAGTATTTCTTCAGCAAGAACTAAACCCAAGACTCTTCTCTGATTAAATTGGTACGTTGCTTTTGTTTTTAGAAACAATGTTATTTTATTTTGTTTTATAGTATTGTCATTTTTATAGTCGTATTTTGGCTTTCTTCAACACCAGTTGCTGTTTTGTCGCTCGCTGTTGTTTTTCTTATGTTCGTTCGCCCTTTGTTTGTTTTGTTTTTATTTATGATATTTACAACTGTATTAGTGTAAATACATCAAGTAAATGTGTACAGAAGAATATAATCACATGAAAACGCACTCTAATAATTTGTCTACATAAGGAGATTTCGAAGACATCTTCTTTTCAGACGCCTCGGAGATTTCAGATGATTCCGTTAGTTATAGAGTTTACTATGGAAGGATATGTATCTGGATTGGTCCAAATCGGAAACATATGAAACATTAAGCTCTTTTTGGATTGTTTTATTTTTGACAAAGTAAGGAGCATTAAGGATTTTACGAAGGATTTTGGATTGTAAGGATTGGATACGGGAGTAATTTGATGGTTTATTGGAGCCCCATAGCTCAACTCCGTAAGTCCAAATAGATCTTATTATAGTCTTGTATATAAATCTTTTTCTTGTAAAGTTGTTGGGCTTAGTAACGAGAGAATTCCTAAAAGGTTAATATTTGCTGTACCGAATGGTAAGCGTCCGAGGGGTAGACTGAAGCGAAGGTGGGAAGATTGCATTAAAGCCGATGTGAAGGGACTGGGTTTGGACGGCGAACGGTGGAGGGAGGTGTGTAACAAGCGATTGGTGGTGTCGGCATCGAACCTTCGGGTTCGCTAAGCCTTATTATTATTATATAAATCTTTTGTAATTAATTGGAAGTTTAGAGCGTTTGTCTAGTAATTGTTGGAATAAGCTAAAACGTCGAACAGTTTCTTGTCGTTTCAGTCTTGTATGAGGATTCCAAGTGGGACGTTTGTCCAGGTGGAGTCCTAGGTATCGGATTTGTTCTACAGGGATAATTGGGATGTTATTAAAGGATACTGTAGGACAGGAAGTCATAGGTTTACGACGAAGGGTAAAGGTGATTTGATGGGATTTATCGAAATTTATTTTAATCCTCCAGTTTTGACACTATTTTTCAAGGTTTGTGATGTGTGATTGAAGAGTTTGGAATCCAATAGATGGATCATTATTAACTGATAGGATACATGTGTCATCGGCATACTTGGTGATGAGAGTGTTGGGATGGACTGGGATATCATGTGTATAAACTGTGTAGAGGATAGGACCAAGGGTGCTACTTTAAGGAACACCAGCAGATTGAAAAAAAGAGAGATGAATAGGTATTATTTGAGATTTCTAAGCCCATAATAACATTTATTTGCGACTGTCATTCGACATTATACTACTTCGTCTATCTTATTAACAGCGACCGCACGTTTGTAATTAAAGAAATTTGTTCCAAAATAAAATTTTCGCCCCATCCATTTTTCTGTGCTTTTCATCCATTCCATCCATTTAGTCCATGACTATCCATTCAGTTATGACCATTCATGACGATGTTTGCTGCACTACTCATGTACGCAATTAGGATAACGATCCTTGATACCAGTAGTGATTGTGAAAGTGAGGTTTGGGACTGTTCATTGAAGTATTCCGTAGTCAAGATATTAAAGTTTTTTTGTCGTATTTTCTAGGATGAGATTAAAAAGTAGATATGGCTTCTCTTTCGAAAACGACCGTTTCTGACTTTTCTTTTCGGGTCCATACCGTACACCCTACACCTGCCTTGGGTTTCTTTATAACTGGGAGCAGCTTAGGGCTTGGTTCATACATTATAATTATTCTTTTATTATTTCAGTGTCAGTTTGGGGAATGATTTTTTATTGAGTAACATGATAAAAAGCCAAACCTAAAGCTCTTAATTTTATTATATATATATGTATATATGTATCTTAAATAAATTGGAACTTAATATTTCTTTGTTAGGATATATAATATAGGCTATGTTGATAGACCAACACTAAACAAAATATACATTGTTCGTGCTTATTTATGTACTGCTTCAACTAAATCTCTATCACTTTATTCCAACTCATAGCTTACATATAATTTAAAGTTGAGAAATATATAAATCAATAGTTTGGTTCCCAGTAATCGCCCGCTGACAAGGATAAACGCCGTTTAAACAGCACTAAGCTTGCCGGGACGGTCAAAGCCCAGGCTGGGGGTTTTCCATGGGAGGACGACTATTGTCGACTATTATTCTATAGAGGAGCTGAAAGCAGGTCCCGAGGGGGGGGGGCAATATATAGCCTGGGGGGGGGCTCATATATATTGCCTCCGGTCAGCGGCAGGGCCACCTGTACCGTCTATCGCCCCTTTAGTCTTGGGCTATAGCTTTCGATTAACCTTCTCGGTTATACTGATTGATTTCATCGGACATTGTTGTTATTATTACTATATGTAATCCCGGATTTGGTTACAAGTTTATTTTTTCTCTCGAAAACTGGAGTATTTTACATCATTACGAAACAAGTGGTAAAAATCTGTTGGCAAATGTTTAGCCATGTTACAAAAAATTTGATTATTGTGCAAATTTAGGCTTGCTAGAGCATGTTATTTTATTTCTTTAATAAACTCACTTTAACCTTGTAGAGAAGGGAAGGATTTCGTTAGGTCGCGGGACCAAATCAATCAAACATGTCCGAAATGTTTGACTAAAGCTTCTTGTGTTTAAGAAACTTGTCACTCTTCAACACATGCTGTCTTTCCCACAATTTTTCGACTGTGTTATTGTCAATGTGACTATACGTTTTATGATATTGTTGTTATAATAAATATGTTCTTCTCTCATTCGAAGATATCGAAATTCCGCAAAATTGCAAGAAATCTCAAATTAAGGGTTTATTAATATAATCTTTAATTAAGGGTTTAGAAATCTCAAAATTCTCATATACGGCTGCAAAACATGCACTCTAACCAACAACATTAAAAGAAGTATTGAAATATTTGAGCGATTTGAGCGATCAGCATATTAATGCATGGGAGAGAAAGAACAATAAAGACCTACTTACAGATCTCGTCGATCATTACCAAATGACATGAAGGGGAGGAGTTTAAAATAGGTAGGGTATGTAGATGGGAACAATTCATCTTGAAACCTCTAAACAATAATAAATGCCTCAATAGAAAGCAAATTACCACATGGAAGGCCAAAAAGTGTATAGATAGAATCGACAACGATGCAATAGCGCTGCATGCAGGTAACTGTAATAGAGCCCAAGATAAGCAAAGATGGAGAAGACTGATTAAGGTGCAAACGATCTAAAAGGTCTGTACTGCAAAAAAAAAAAAAATAAATAAATAAAATGGAAAATGAAACAAATAGTAAAAATGTTGGTTTGAACATTGTCTTAAAATTGATTGAACTGATAAGGGATTGCTTATGTTAACTTCTCTGTTATGCTTCAGGTAGGTTCACTATCACTTCTTTAAATATTTCCCATTATTTTGCAAGAACCCCATTTATAAAGTTGGATTAATTGAGATCTCAATATTATCATCCATTTAAGCCATTCGTGATGTGACATCCGCCTGTTCATTTCCTGTGTACCACAATGGGACATAACCCAAACGAAAGCAGTTACAAATGGAAATAAGTGGATGTAACATGGATATGAATATTATATTTTGGATCGATTTGCTTTATGATAATAGACACATTTCCATTCATTCAATAAGGCTGTTGTGATGGTTGTTATGTGTGTTGATGGTTTCTTACCTTGAAAATAGTTCCGTCGTAAACCAACGACTTCCTGTCCTACAGTTTCCTTTAACAATACTCCACTTATCCCTGTTGAGCAAATCCGATACCTAGGACTCCACCTGGACAAACGACTAACTTGGAATCCTCATACTAGACTGAAACGACAAGAAACCGCTCGACGTTTCCGATTACTTCAGCACTTACTAGACAAACGCTTTAAACTTCCCATTAATTACAAAAGACTTATATACTCGACTATAATAAGACCTATTTGGACTTACGGAGTTGAGCTATGGGGCTCCACTAAACCATCGAATTCCTCTCGCATCCAATCCTTACAATCCAAATTCCTTCGTAAAATCCTCAATGCTCCTTACTTTGTCACTAATAAAATTATCCATAAAGATCTTAATGTTCCTTATGTTTCAGATCTGGCCCAATCCAGATACCTATCCTTCCATAATAAACTTCAGAATCATCCCAATCCTCTCGTTTCTAACCTTGCTTCCTCTTCAATTCCTGATAACCCTCCGAGGCGTCTGAAAAGAAGATGGGGAAAAAAAAAAAAAAAAAATAGTTCCTGTAAAATAATACTGGAACTTTTGATGTTAGACTATTTGTATCTGATGTGTGTTTTTATACTTCTAAATAAAGTCAAATCCTAACCAATAATATTGAAATATAGATTTTAATGAAGATAACTGTTTTATGTATTGATTTTAGGTTTGGAGAAAACCAAAGCCAAGAAAAGAAAAGAAAGCCAAATTTTAATATCCTTACTTCCATTTTTCACCACATCTCGCATTTTCAGTTATTTTTTGGTTTTTTCTCGGAGGCCAGTGGAGATTTGATGTTATAAAACTATCAAACCAAAATATCATTATATTTAAATAAATATTGATGTTGATATTTTTTCAACTTTCAGAACTACACCCCCTCTATCTGACCGCAAAAGAATCACTTGCATTAAAGTAATCCCCGAGCATTATCCGATGGGAGGACGGGACTGGACGGCGGTGAGAGGTGCTAAGACCCCCCGAATTAAGCCGGATTGCGGACTAAGTGCTCTCCCTAGCCCGAACGCCAATCCTCTACAAGGTATTAGTTGATTCCCAAATCGCGTTATCGTCTTTCAGGATTTTTTTTTTCTAATACGTCATTATAATCTTTTTGCTCCGTCTCTTTACTCTTTCAAACCGTTAATCTTCTCACTGTTTCAAAAAAATCCATGGCTTTACGCAATTCAACCATACCTGCCTGTTCTTTTCAATGATGATCCATTTTAACTTATTTTTGTCTAGGTTGAGTTTTAGATTCTAGAGAAAAAATATATCTTTTTAATTCGCGTAGATATCACTAACCATCTGATCTTCCGAAATATAGCTACATTTTATTTTTTGAAAATCTATTGAGATTTGAAAAACAAATGAGGCTCATTGAAGTTGGTAAATATTAAAAAACAAACAAAAATAGCATTCATTGGATCCTTTTATTTTATTCAATTCCAATATCTTATTAATGATATTTAAATATGGTATATTAATTAAAGATTAAATTGTTCTTTATTTGCGGTAGCCAGTAGCATATTTTTTTGTAATGCATTTTATTTTCTGTTTTATTTCATTTTTATTTTACTATCGAGATTAGTTTAGCTTGAAACTGGACCACTGCTGATTGTAAAATTCTTAGAAAATAATTTTGTTCTCTCGTTATCCCTACATTGTAATGAAAAACATCTTCCCATTTATTGATGGCCATTTTTAAATACTTTTTAAATAAATATTTATTGACATTACAACTGCAATAAAAAAATACAACTAATAAATTATAATTGGCAACAAGTCAAATTAGCACAAAGAAAAAGTAGCCTAGAATGATGAGGTCGGATAATTTAAATTTCTTTTTTATGTTGTTCGGTATGTAGAGAATATAAAAAATTCAAGTTTCCGCTTTAGAAATCCTTGTAAATTCGCTGCAGTGGTCCAAAAACCATTCATATTTCGAATTTTTATTTTGGTTTACTCTAAATATCTCGTTTTTCATCCGACATAGATATAAAATGACTATTCAAGGGTGGAAAGTTGGATTTTTTATATTCACTGCATACTTTTGTAACTTTTGCAAGGCAACATATCTAATTTGATTAGGCTTATGTACAACATGAAGAAAAACTAGCCATTGGTAGCACTCCAATCATAGTATATTAGAAGATTCCGTGGCCATATTCTTCTTAAATGCCTTTCAGGATTGTCAGCAATTGAAGAGAATGCAAGGTTAGAAAAAAATAGGTTTGGATGGGCCTGGTATTTACTATGGAAGGATAGGTATCTGGATTGGGCTACTTGAAATGAATGAATGAAAAAATAATTTTATTCTCTGACTACTGACTACCCTAAAAATAATAACAGAGTTACATATTTATGTATCTTAGTCTGACACAGTAAAAATACCAACTAATTTATTGTTAATTGTTATTTAAATTGTGCAATGGATTGAAATTAAACATTGTATAGATGCAAGTAATTTTACATGTTAGGGCAAGTTTGAATATGGAGTAGGTGTTGGAACAGGAGTTGTTTGAAGGAATTTGTGGATGAGGATTGACGCATGGAGGTAGGAAGTGAGTTCCATAAGGAAGCGGCACGAATGACGAAGGATTTGCTGAAGGAAGAAGTTTTATGGGAGGGAATATATAAGTCTATAGGTTGGGACCTAGTATTGAGAGAGTGGATAGAGGAGCGCAGAGTAAGGAGTTCCAGGATGTAGGGAGGGTTTTTGGTTCTGAAGACTTTGAAAAGGATAACGCCAAGAATTGTCGTCGGGAAGTAGGAAAAAGCCACTTCAACTAGGTGTACCATAGTGAAACATGTGAACGCCTGGGGATCCCGAAAATGTATCTTATGAAACAATTCATGAGTCTTTTTAATCTCATTTCCAGCCTGGCAGATAGCCCTCCATACACCAAGCAGCCGTAGTCGAAGTGAGGGAATACAAGGGAGGTTACAAGGAGCTGGTCTGGTTTTTAAAGGAATACAATCACGGAATCTTAGGAGTTGTTTAAGGGCAGTTATCGATTGTCGGGTAATCTGGGAGATATGATTATCCCAGGAGAGGTTCTGGTCAAAGGTTACTCCTAGGTTTTTGACTGTAGGGAAAAAATGGATGGGATGGTTATTGAGGTAAAGTAGAGAAAAGTAAGAAAGGGAGCTGATGAGATGTCTGGACCCGATGATAATAGCCTTGGTTTTATCTGCATTGAGCTTCAATTCATTTATTTCTGCCCATCTGTTGATGCAGTCGATGTCCTCTTGTACCTCCGGGCAGCCTCAGGCATCTCAGAAGGTTGGAATGATTAGTATATTTGGAAATCATATAGGTGGTAATTGGAGTCTTGAATGGCGTTAGGAAGGTCACTAATATAGATAGAGAAAAGGGTCGGGGAGAGTGAGGAACCCTTAGGAACACCTCGCGTTAATTGCAGTGATGATGGAGGTTTATTCGGTATTGTAACTGTCTGAGATCGATTGGATAAGAAAGATAGGAACCATTTTAGGACGCTATTTGACATGGGCAGGCTTTGGAGTTTGGAAAGAAGGATCTCATGATTAACGGAATCAAACGCCTTGGAAAAGTCAAAGAGAATTAGGATGGAGATTTTCTGTTTATCTATGGCGGATTGGAGGTCTTGGGTGATCCTTAGCAAGGCAGACTGGGCGGAATACTGGGAACGTTATGGATACTTTTATTTGACATAGTTGGGTGCATTGAAGACCTTACGAAGGATTTTGGATTGTAAGGATATGAGAGGAATTTGATGGCTTAGTCTAGAGTTCTAAAGCTCAACTCTATGAGTCTAAATAGGCCTTATAAAAGTCAAGTAAATGAGTCGTATATAGTTTAATGGAAGTTTAGATCGCATGTCTAGTAATTGTTGAAGTAGCCGGATACGTTTAGCGGTTTCTTGTCTGTTCACCAGGGATAAATGGAGTATTATTGAAAAGTACTCTAGGACAGGTATTCATTCAGATATTCTAGGACAGGATTAATTACTATAATTCTTAACATAATGGAAAAGGAATTTCGTTGAGCGATGTTGCTGATGTTTTTTTATATTTCTGCTGGAAAAAATATTAGCAGTAGGATATCCAATTCAATGGAGGAGTTCGCTAATACCTCTTATTAATCGGCTATGCTTATAGCTAACATTTTCCACCTGGGAGCTCTAGGACGGCTGGCGACCTAGTTCCTCGGGCTGCTATATCACCTAGGTTTAGAGAGGAGAGGCCCAGCCATGGTCTGCTTTGGAGGGAGTCTGGGGGGGGGGGTCACTATTGTTTGGTCGCGGCCTTAGTGAGAACAAAGGGGAGGTATCTCACTCCCAGTTTAGGCTCTCTCCCTCCTCCCCCTCCCCCTCCATCGATATAGTTATGGAGAAAAAGAATCTGTTGTACTATCGACAAAAGATTTTTTTTTTTAAACTTTTATTATGATATTTACAACTGTATTAGTATGAATACATCAAGTAAATGTGTACATAGGAATATTATCACATGAAACATTGTTGAGAAACTACCCATTGGTAGCACTCTAATAATTTGTCTACATGAGGAGATCACGAGGCCATCTTCTTTTCAGATGCCTTGGAAGGTTATCAGGAATCGAAGAGAAAGCAAGGTTAGAAACAAGAGGATTCGGATGGTGATGAAGTTAATTATGTAAGGATAGGTATCTGGATTTGGCCAAATCGGAAACATATGGAACATTGAGGTCTTTATGGATTATTTTATTTGTGACAAAGTAAGGAGCATAGAGGATTTTACGAAGGATTTTGGATTGTAAAGATTGGATACGAGAGGAATTTGATGGTTTAGTGGAGCCCCATAGCTCAACTCCATAAGTCCAAATAGGTCTTATTATAGTCATGTGTATGAGTCGTTTGTAATTCATTGGAAGTTTAGAGCGTTTGTCCAGTAAGTGTTGGAGTAAGCGGAAACGTCGAGCAGTTTCTTATCGTTTCAGTCTTGTATGAGGATTCCAAGTGAGACTTCTATCCAGCTGGAGTCCTAGGTATCGGATTTGTTCTACAGGGATAACTGGGGTGTTATTAAAGGATACTATAGGATAGCAAGTCATTGGTTTACGACGAAGGGTAAAGGTGATTTGATGTGATTTATTGGAATTTATTTTAATCCTCCAGTTTTGACACCATTCTTCAAGGTTTGTGATGTGTGATTGAAGAGTTTGGGATGCAATTGTTGGATCATTATTAACTGACAGGATACATGTGTCATCAGCATACGTAGTGATGACAGTAGTTAGGATGGGTTGGGATATCAGCTGTATAAACTGTGTAAAGGATAGGCCCAAGGATACTATCTTGAGGAACTCCGGCAGATTGAGAAAAGAGGGATGAATAGGTATTATTGTGATTTACTTTGAAGTGTCCATCAGTAAGATAGGAACTGATGATAAGAAAATATGTAGGGGGAAGGAATTTACGGAGTTTGTAAAGCAATTCTGGATGTCAGACTCGATCAAACGCCTGTTCAACGTCGAGAAAAACTCCAGTGCAATACATTCCGCGCTCCAATGCAGAGGAAACAACATCTACCACACGATGACATTGCTGGATAGTGGAATGGGATCTGCGGAATCCAAATTGGTGATCAGGGATTATGTGGTTAGAATCTAGGATGGTATACAGGCGTTTTAAGATGATCTTCTCCAGGATTTTGCCCATGATGGGTAAAAGAGAGATAGGACGGTATGAGGATTCGTATTCTGGTGGCTTTTCGACAAAAGATAAAAGTTCTTATTCATATTTTAGTTTAATTTATCTTTTATAATTTATATATATTTATTTGTTCAATGTTTATTCATGTGGGATTTTTTCCCTCAGTAAAGTTATTTTCTATTCTATTAAATTTATTTATTTTCAATAATGAACTTTCGTGATCCACCTCGCTTATTAATAAATCACAAACATTTTTAATTCTGGTCAAATTTTGATCAATGTGCGATTCTATTAAATTAAATAGAAAGGCAATCTTTATTTATTTTTAATAATATTTTTTAGAGGAAAAAAATATAGTCAAGAAGTCAGCTGCCA